CTCAGGCTTCTTATTAACTAACTCTTATATCTTAAATTAACCCATCCCTATTATTTTATATTTTACCATGAGTCTTGTGGTTTACCGGTAAAGTTCCAGGGCATCTGTCTCCTTTGGCAGCTATATGGCATCTCCTTCAGTCTGCCTACTTTCTCTCTACAACTCTGTTTGTATTTTCCACCTGGCTTTACTCTGTTAAGCCACTGGCCGAAAACAGATTCTTTATTAACCAATGACAATAAAACATTCACAGCACACAGAAGGGAATCCCACATCACCAGCCTATTAAACAACAGACTCCCAAGGAATCAGATTCTCGAGGAATCCCCGAGATGTCATGGTGGAGGAAGGAAGAGCCCGAAGCCTTAAAACCAGCACTCAGAGGGGAATTTGCCTCCCAGGGAGACTTCACACAGTTATAACAGTTGTCAGGTTATCTTGCCACACAGTGATGGTGGGCAGGATGGCACCTGGCAGGGATGCCTTACTCATGGCTCTTCCCTCTATTCAAGTCCAAAGCTCATGCTAAGACTCCAAAGATAGATGCTGGGGTGATGGCTGTGCAGATAAAGCCCTTGCCGCCTAAGCATGCAGACAGGAGTTTGGCTCTGAGAACCTGTCTCAATGCCATTCCAGGCATAGCGTCCACCTGTAGTTCCTCCCCCCAAAAACAGAGACGGGCTCCCAGAGCAAGATGGCTGGAGAGACAAGCCATGCCACCAGCTTTGGTAAAGACTGTTGGCTGGAGAGATGAGCCATGCCACCAGGTTTGGTAAAGATCGTTGACTGGAGAGATGAGACATGCCACCAGGTTTGGTAGACTGTTGGCTGGAGAGACGAGTCATGCCACCAGCTTTGGTAGTAACCCTTCCTCAGTGAGTAAAGCGGAAGCTCTCAACAGTGATTTCTTTTTTCTGTTACCTTTGCCTCAGATTCTTCCTGCCCACAATGCCCTCGTGTATTTCCTAATTTCCTTCATGTGTCCTTTGATTGCCCTGCTCAAAACGGCACATTCCATCTCCTCTGCGTTCGGCTTTATTTTTAACTTTTCATCAACACTTTTTGCCTTTGAACATAAACCCCTTCACCGTGTTCATTGCCACCCCGCCAGCTCCCCTCCCTAGAACAAGAACTCTAGTGCAGAATTGCACTGTGTCCCTGAGGCTTGGATCACGCTCAAAACATGTTGCAATGCACTTGTCCGCAAATGTGCCAGTAGGATGGAGCTAGAGGAGATGTGGAGGGGAACTTGGATTTCCAGGCTCCGCTAGAGACGGTGAGTGTGTCCCTCCTTCCCTGAGCCTCCATTTCCTCTCAGTACGTCCAGGGGCGTGGACTGTGCCCAGCTCAGCTACTGGGGCTCAGTCTTTGTCGTTCCTCCTGAGGGGAAGCTGCAGACACAAGCACAGCTCTGGGAGGATGAGAGGATGAGTCAGTGGGCTGGACAGCCCTGAATGGCAGAAGTGGGAGTGGAGAGGAAGGAGCCCGGGGCTGGGAATGGGACAACTGTAGGAGCTGATGGAGAGGATGCCAGAGGGGAGGAGTAGGAAGATGAGCAGATTTCCCACAGAAGGACTTGGTGATCAAATTTAGGGCAGGGAAATGAGGATGAGAAGATCCACGTGAGCCTGTGAGACTGGAGACACGGTACTGCGATGGTCGGTGTTAACTCTCATCCTGACTCAATCTAGAGTCGCCCAAGAAAGCCTCAAAGAGAGGTTGTGTAGATGAAGCTGGCACATAGGCATGTATGAGGGGGTGGAAAGATTATATGTTGATAGATGTGGAAAGGCCCAGCCCACTGAGGGTAGCAGGGAGGGGCTCCTGGCCTGTGTTAGTGGGTACGGTACAGAGAGGAGCTGAGCTGGTAAGTGTGCATCCATTCCCTCCCTGCTGTTGACTAGTGTGCTGTGACAAGGTGTTAGAGTTGCTGCTGCCTCCAGTTCCTTTCTGGGATGAGCTGTAATCGGGAATTGTGAGCTAAAATCAATCCTTTCTCCGCTAAATTGCTTTTGGTCAGTATTGTACCACAACAACAAAATTGAAACTCAGTTATCTTTGGACCCCAGGCCTCAAGTAAGGTACCCTTTTCCCTTTTTCTCATTCAGATGCATAATCCTATCCTGGAAATTATCTCTCTGGTAAATTCATGATGTAGGAGGATCATCTGTCTATGTGTTACTTTCATTGGTTAAATAAAGAAACTGTCTTGGCTTTTTTGATAGGGCAGGATTTAGATAGGTGGAGTAGACTGAACAGAATGCTGGGAGAAAAAAGCAGAGTCAGGCAGATGCCATGGCTCTTCTCTCCGAGATGGTCGTAGGTTAGGCTCATGCCGGTTAGCCACAGTCACGTGGTGATATACAGATTATTAGAAATGGGTTAATTAAGATGTGAGAGTTAGCCAAGAAGAGGCTACATATAACGGGGTCAGGCAGTTTTTAAATGAATACAGTTTCTATGTCCGTGTAATTATTTCGGGTAAAGCTAGCTGGGCAGGACAAAAAGCAGCCCACTCGCCATTCTGAGTTTAGTCCCAGCCCTGAGAAACAGAAGACTTTTATGAGGTGCAGAACCATCTAGAAAGAGTGGATAGTCCTGGGTTGGTGTGCAAGAGTGTTTAATGCCCATAGCCCAGCAGCTGACAGGTGACCTTCTAGCTCTCTTCCACACCCAATGCGCACAATCACGTGAGTACTCCTGCTTCTGGGAGAGGTGGGCTTTGGCATGAATGTTCCTGCTTCCAGGAGAGACCGGGTTTAGGCAGAATTAGCCTCTGAAGCCAAACTAGCAGAAGCAGAAGTCTTGGTGCCAGCGGGGAGAGTACCCAAACTGGATGACTCATGGGTGGACTTCAGGGGGGCTTCTCCAACTTGGAGTTCTCTCACGCATCTCTGGGTCCTGCAATAGACACAGCTCAGTGTGTTCCATCCCTGCCCTGTTCGTGCCTAACATCCCCCAGCTTGCCCCACTCACCAGTCAAGATCTCAAGTTGGTACCCAACTTCGTGGCTACAGTCCAACCCACTGGCCACAGGTGACCCCAGCTTCTGCCTGCCCCTGGCCACAGCCCAGAGGATGCTGGCTGTAAGAAGCTTGCTGAAGAGGACACAGACCAGGAGGAGGAGGAGAATGGAAGTGGGTAGGAAGGAGGTCTCTCCTGATTGGCTCCTTGGAAAGAGAAGGGAGACTACAGGTGACCTACTGGGTTAAACCCGCCCTTGGAGAGGGAATAGAATTCCTAGGGGGCTTGGGTGACACTATCTCTGGGATGGGACTTTATGGAGCTCCGAGGAATCACCTGCTGATTGCACAAATACACACCCCATTACCCTGCTGAGCTGTTTCCTATAGTATGCTTTGGTGCATGTGGTGCACAGGTATGCAGCTGTACACATGCAGAACACACACAGTTGTAGAACACATTTCTGCATTAGTACATAGGGGAGGATGCACCTGCACATGTGCTCAGTGTTTGTATCATTTCTATATTAGTACATGAGGCAGCTAGGATGCATTCTGGTTCTTCTGAAGAAGCAGAGTCCCAGGGCTCTTGGTTTTAAGCTGAAGTCCTGAGACTTCTTGCTGAGAGCAGGGGTCTGTGGGGGCTGCTCTTTCAGAATTCTGGAGTGGCACCTTCGCAAATGGTCACGAAGGCCTCCAGTTTCTTACTATCCAAGCCCAGTAGCGTCAATGCGCTAGCAGGTGGGAGGAAACTTACACAAGACTACACCTAGGCCTTTGCCTGATCTGTTGTCCTGGGACCTCCATCCCCAGTCACTGCCAGGAGTCTGAGGGGCGACCACCACTGTACCTGGAGGTGCTGTGCTCCACTTGAGCACCCTCAAAACTCTCTGATTCCTCAGAGACCCAGAGATCTCCAGCATCTTGGTCATCTAGAGGATCTGTGAGAGACAAGCCATGAGATCACTGCTCCTTTAGGGCACTGTCTGTTGGGGAGGACCATATAACTCAGGAAGCAAAGAAAACTACAAGGCTCAGGAACCTCATGAACCTTAACAAGATTTATACACACATCCCAAGCCATTACACCTATTGGGGAGAGGTGACTCAAACCAGGACCAGCTCCCTACAAGTTGCTCAGGAGCTCCAGGGATTTAGGGAGTTCCAGGGATTTAGGGAGCCCCAGGTATGCAGGGAGATCCAGGGATGTAGGAAAGGATGTAGGAATTCCAGGGATGTAGGGAGTTCCAGGGATGCAGGGATCTCTGGGGATGCAGGGAACTCCGGGGATGCAGGGATCTCGAGGGATGCTAGGATGGACTTTTGGTGATGCAGCTGCTTTAGAGCTGCCCATAGATAAACCCTCTACCATGCACTTACAAGTAGTCCCAGTAAACTCACTAGTTCATGGAGCTAGACCTGGGTGGAACCTTTCCTTGAATCCGTTGCTAAGGGCCAATCTGGGACAAACATTTGCTTATGTCTCCCAGGAACAGTCACACAAAAACGAGATCTGTCCCAAGGATCAACCAAAGGTGCGACTGGCCGCTGTACTCACCTGCCAGCACCTCCACCAGGACCTTCTGGAGAACATCGGCCTCTTGACCTCGGAGACTCTGACACTGGTAGAGACCCGCATCACTGGCTTGGAGGTTTCGCAGAGTGACAGTGAGGGTTCCAGCCAGAGTGTCATCTGTGATGACCGTGCTCCCATTCCGTTTCCTCAGGAAGGCCAACAACCACACATTGTGTGTGCTCACCACACGCTCGCATGGGCCCTCCTCAGCCAGCTGGCGACACCAAGCCTTGCGTCTCCCCCAGTGCTTCAAGGAGTCGTAAGTACATGACACCCGCAGGGACTGACCAGCCACACCCTGCAGCACCGTTGTGTTGAGGGCTTGGGACAACTCTGCAGAGGAGACTGGCACTTGTCACTTCATCCACTCACGTACTCACTGAGCATCTATGTGCCAGGAGCAGCAGACTCTGAAGACAGGATCCTTAAAGAGCTCAGGGTGTCTAAGCAGAAGGTGGCATACCTGGGGTCTAGAGTCTGATTTTCTTACAATGATTCCCAGACACCTTTGGAGGCAGCTCTAGGAATACAGGGAACATGGTGTACACGTGATCATCAGAATAATCTCCTTCCACTCTTTGTTTGAAACAGAAATTCTTACCAGTGTACAAGAAGAGCTAATGTTCACGGTCAATGTGACAGGTTCTAGAATCATGGAGAGGGCAAACTTCTCAGTGTGCCTGTGAGGGACTTTCTAGATCAAGTTAACCTATGGGAATATCGATGGAAGAGTATCTGGATTTAGTTCATTGGTGTGAGAAGACCCGCATTCCACGGGTTGAAGTCCCTGGTTGCATCTAAAGCAGAAAGAGAGCCCAGCAGCTGCCCTCATCTCTCAGCTTCTTGACTAAGCATACAATGTAACAGCCACCTCCTGCTGCCATGCCTTCCCCACCAGGATGGAACGCATACCCTGGCACTGCGAGCCAGACCAACCGCCTTTCACTGGGTTACTTTTCTGAGATACTTTGTTACAGCAACAAGCTGTAACCCTACAGTTCGGAACTCTACCACACAGACCAAGCTGACCTCTGCGCTTCTAGGGATCTGCCTGTCTCTGTCCCCATGTCTCCATCCCTGGGAGGCAGGCACATGCCACTGCACCTGGCTGTCCTTATGGGTTCTGTGGGTCCAAATACAGATCTTCATGCTTGCAAGGCAAGCACTGTGTTGACTAAGCCATGCCTTGCTCTTAAAACCCTTCTGGCTCTATTTTGGACATCTTCCCTCCTGTCATATGGGACCAGATTGTCTCTTTCCCCCTCCTCATCTCAGGAGAGCAAAGTTAATGGGTCTCGGGCTGGTTTCCCAGGGGTCTGGGATGCCCTTCTCCCTGCCCCTGCCTCATATCCTCTCTCCAGTCGTCCATACTGGATGAGACTCCTTTCCTGACCTTTAACTCCCAGCTTCCCTGTTTCTGTGACTCTGTTCCTCTTTTTGGAGGACTTGTCTCAAAGTTATTTTGGGGGAGACATGAGGCTGCTATTTTGGAGATTATCTTGGGGTAGGGTTGGTGGCATTGGAGCACCCGCCAAGTTGAGACCAAAACAGGGGGACAAGGGTTTATGTAAACTTTCTGTCTCTTGTATCTTGTCTCCAGCTATTACTGAGATGGAAACATGAAAGGTGGGGTCAAGGAGCTGGCAGCCGCCATTTATAGAGACCTCATGTGTGTGTTCTCGCCACACATCAGTCCCTCTGCCCTCTGCCTCCAGGCAGGCTAAGGCACCTTACACCTCCCCCCACACATCAGCTCCTCCACCCAGCTGCCTCCAGGCAGGCTAAGGCGCCTTACATCTCCCTCCACTTCCAGATGCTTCCGCCTCTTCTCTCACCTGTGTTTGCCCATTACTCTTTGGCTGCAGGAGGCACCCAGCCCGCAGTGGGAGGAGGCGGTCTGTCACACTTGAGGACTCAGTGGTAGAGCCTTCAGCATCCTCAGCTCCCACTGAGGGCTGAGGTCAAATGCGGGAAGGACTGTTTGGATACAAATCGCAACCCATGTCTCTCCTTTAGCCTTCTCTCCCATTCCTCCACTCCACATATGCTGCAGTGTTCCTTGAGTGTGTAGAGGCCCCTAGCAGCGCTTCTACAGCGCCCCCCAACCCGACAGCTAGTGCCATCCTCACAATTCCTGCAGTGACCAAGTACAGCAGAACCTTCCCTACACATGGGGGTTGATCCATGGGAAGAACATGGGCCAGTGGAGAGGAAAGCAGAGGCAAGCAGGACACTTGAGCATGCCAGGACTCCAGCCTCCTTCACAGTACCCTTCCATAACACCCCCACTCCCAATCCCACCCAGCCATCTGCTCAAGGAAGCATTATAGAGGGCAGGTCCCACCTGTGATCAGCAGCAGGAGAAACAGGTGGAGAGGCCCCATGGCTCCCTTCCTCAGCCAGCCGGAGAGAACAGACTTGGGGAGTCCCTTGTGCAAGATCTCGTCTTTCCCTTGAAGTGCGGAAAAGAAAGGACCAAGCCAGTCAGGCGCAGTCACAGGAACTGTGCTCCTGGATTGAGCAATGGTCAGGACTAGGGTAGGCGCTATGATTCAAGGAAGGAGAGGACATGAGGGAGGAAGGAAAGAGGCCCCCGCAGTCTGGCTGAAGGTCAGATGCCTCCTGCAATGCTGGCCAGGCTGGCCCTGCACGGCTGTTGCCAGTCAGGCTTTTAGTCCTCCATCTCCCTGCAGAACCTCACCTGGGGGTTATTATCCTCACACTGTAGCCCCAGATCTGCCATCCACTGGTGCCAGCCTCCTGGAGGGCAGCCGCTTCTTATGAGGTTGGAATATCACCAGCTCCTGCCCACAACCTTATTGGGTAAGGCAGCCGCTAGGGACATAAACTAGAGGCAGACTTTCTGTTTGCTGTGTGTCCGCTCAGGCCTGTAACCTCTCTGTGCTCTCTGTGTCTCATTTTGTGCATCTGTAAGATAGGACCATTGGTGATAAGCAAGTTTATCGGGGGCCTCATGGGTCTCCTACAATCAAGGGTCCAGACACACAGAATCCCTCAGAAAGGGTTAACTATGTCTATTACCTCAGTCAGCAGGGGATGGGGAAATGGGCAAACTCTGAGTGCATTTCAAGCATCCCTTCCCTAGAGAAATGTGAACAACCTCTATCCCCTCCTCATGAGTTCTTCAACGCCAGAGAAGGAGCTGGTGTGATGAGCACTTGTGAGCCTCCATGTGGGTGCTGGGAACTGAACCCGGGTCCTCTACAAGAACAACAAGTGCTCTTAGCCCCTGAACCATCTCTTCAGTCCCCAGCTAATGAGCTTATTAGGCTTACGTACAGAGCATGAGGGAGGGAAGGGGTACCCGCGGAAGCATGGGTGGCCGTAAAGCAGATGCAGTGGACGTCTTCATATAGTATGGATGCTGGCTTCCCTGTGGTCATATGGGTGGACTCCCCTCCCCAGTCAGCTTTCCTCAACCAGCACACTACAATCCCCAAGACTCCAAGGTCTCATGCAATTAGGGCAGAATTGCACGCAGGTGGCTTAGAGAAGTGGCGACTGGTTAGGTGGCCTCCTTTGACCTCTCCACCCCCTCCTTCTGTGAAGACAAGCCAACAGTTCACAAGATGGCCGCAACAAGCAGCCAATGCTTGTCTGATGGAGATGGCAGCTGTTTTCAATAATTCTCACAATGGGGGGTACTTTTGTTTGCCCCAAACTCCTTCTCTGCAGAGCTGGGTGTCCCCAGGGCACATGTCTACACAGCTCCGTCTTGAACTTTTGGTCACCCAGTGGGACAGGCCGAGCACTTCCTAGAGTTCTGGAAGACAGGGATTCCACAGGTAGAGCCCCCATGAGGATGGTCCAGGCACAGAGACACAAAGATGTCTGGTGAATCAGGGGTAGAGCTCTGGAGATCTGGAGGCATTCCAGCCTGAAAACTGAGCTATGTCAGAGTTCCTGAGGAAAGAAGCTGGGAGCCGACAGGTGCACTACCTGGTTTCAGTTCTGGTATAGTTCTCTGTTCTCGGGTTCTTCTGGGATGGACCATGTGACAGGGCGTGTCGTCTGGAGATGGGAGCTCCTGGGGGCATAAAAGACAGTACTCCACAAACAGCTCAGGTTGTCAGGGTCTAATGCAGGGAGTGGCCCTGATCACTGTGTGTGTGTGTGTTTGTTTGTGTAGGTCAAAGATGTCTTTCCTCCAAGACTCTCCACTTCCTCTTTTGAGACAGAGTCTCTCACTTGGCATGGAATTCATCAGTTGGGCTCCACTGTCTGGTCCATGAATCCCAGGGATTCACCTATTGATGTGGGATTGCCCTCTGTATGCTGTGAATACCATTGGTTAATAAAGAAGCTGCTTTGGGCCTATTGAAGCACAAAAGAGGGCAAGGTGGGAATTCCAAGCAGATAGGTGAGGAAAGTGGGCAGAGTCAAGGGGATGCCTTGTAGACACCACAGGAGACAGACACAGGACGCTGGGCAGAACCTTACTGGTAGGCCACAACCATGTGGCAATACACAGATTAATAGAAATGGATTGATTTAAGATATAAGTGTTAGTCAGGAATATGCTTAAGCTATTGGCTAAACAGTATTGTAATTAATACAGTTTCTGTGTGATTATCCCGGGTCTAGATGGCTGGGAACGAATAAGCAGTCTCTGCCTACAATCTATCCCCACCTCCCAGAGCTGGGATTATAAATGTACAGCGCCATGCCTGGGTCTTCTCCCTCCGAATGACTGCATCTAACTTTAATGATTAAAGAGTTATGTTACATAATTTTATATACAATGGATAGCAACATGTTTAATGATATATCCATCCCAACCTAAGAGAGTGAGAACAGAAAATATTTTTTATATTTTAATAAAATTTTTATATTTTATTAAAATATAAATTTTTATATTTTATTAAGATATAAATCTTTATATTTTAATAAAATATTTTAAATAAAATATTAGCCCTTTAAAGTATAGTTATTTCATGAGCTTTGGAATCAGGACCTATCCGCCTCTTGTTGCACATTTTGTACATGGTTTGTGTCCCTCACGAAGGATCTTCTTATGACACAATGAGAAAACATGCAGGGTTTTCACCCGACTTTATGTATGTTCTGGAGACTGAGTTTATGTCCTCATTCACAATGCCAGAGCCGCTCCCAACCCTGCAATGTCATATGCATTTTATAGGCTTAAGAAGTAGGGATACACACTGGTCAGCACATCTCTGTGCCTATTTTAGTCTCCAGTTCCCTCTACTTTTTTTTTCTTCCCTGTGCTTTCTTTCTAAGGAAACCAGATGGTTAATCCTGCAGGGTTCCCTACAGTGTGGCCTGCTGACTCACACCCCAGTGTTGCCCTCCCTGCTCAGCATCCCAGCACTTCCTTAGGATGACCTAACTGTGGAGTCTTTGCAGATCTGGCTCTGTGAATTCTTCACAGGCATGGCCCCAGGGCCTCGGTGACTGGCAGGGGTTTCTTTTCTTTGACAGCAGCTGTTTGTACTCAAGTCATTTGGGGGAGCAAATGCTCCTTCTTCATGGGTCGCTCAACACTTCTGTGAGATATGACCTGCTGAGAAAAACAGGAGATGCGTGCAGGTGAGATTGCTCAGTGGGTTTAGCAGTGGCTGTGTGATCCCCATGCCCTGATTCAATACCTGGGATCCATTCAAGGGTCAAGGAGTGGCCCTTTGACCTCACACTCATGCCCACATATGCTCACACACCACACAGATAGACATTAGTAATAAGTAACCTTTGAAACTGACGAAAACAAAAGGCAGAAGAGCAGGTTGCACTGCACCCCCCAATCCCTCCCCTAGGAAGAGGCTGCAGTACACCCCTTAATCCCTCCCCTAGGAAGAGGCTGCAGTGCACACCCTAATCCCTCCCCTAGGAAGAGGCTGCAGTGCACACCCTAATCCCTCCTCTAGAAAGAGGCTGCAGTGCCCACCATAATCCCTCCCCTAGAAAGAGGCTGCAGTGCACACCATAATCCTTTAGGAAGAGGCTACAGTGCACACCCTAATCCCTCCCTAGGAAGGTTGAGACAGTGAGGCTCCCTCCCAAAATAAAAGACAAAGGGGGACTTCATTGTCTCACTTATAAACTGTTTCTTGTTCTTTGTTTCTGTTTGATTTTTTTTATAAAACTGTACTGTTTTATTAAAACTCAAGTTGCCATTAAGATTTTTTAAATTATTTTACAGAGGTATACATGAACAATTTAAATAGATTTGATTAATTTAAGTTCATTGTTACAGACCAAGCTGGCCTCAAACTCAGAGATCCACCTGCCTGTCTCTTAAGTGCCGAGATTATTGGCGTGTGCCACCACTCCTGGCACTGTTGCTGCTTCTGTTGCCATGGGCACCACTCAGCCTTCTACACTGGTTAGTTCCTGAGACCTTCTGACTGACATAATCCCTCCAGCTTCCTTACCATCTAGCATAACAAGATGTCTGGGCCTGGCTTGTTCACTTCTTGCTAAACTTGGGTCAGTCCATTTTGGGGAATGCTGCTTCCATTTTCAGTGAAAATTGGTATTTTAGTGCCAGGGAGGTTTCTTGGCATCTTTTCCTGTGGCTATAATGAAATACTCAGACAAAGGCAGCTAAAACAGGAGATTTATTTGGCTCACAGTCCCAGATCATGATACATCATGGTGGGACGCCATGGCAGCAGGGGCTTGAGGGTTCTATCCCATCCACAGTCAAGAAACAGAGATAGACAAATTACAACTCCCTTTTCCTGTGTTTTGTTTGCTTGTTTTGTTTTTTGGCTTTTGTTTTTTTTTTTAGTACAGGACCCCAAGCCCTATAAATAGTCCTGCCCACAATTAAATAAAATTAAGACGATCTCCTGTTGGGGAATATTATTTTCAGGTGTGTGACTTTTGTTTATGCTGCATTTGTTAAACCCTGTGGAGCTGTGATTCTTTGCCTGTCTAAAACACCTGATGGTCTGATAAAGAGCTGAATGGCCAATAGCGAGGCAGGAGAAAGGATAGGTGGGGTAGTAGGCAGAGAAGATAGAGGGAGAAATGAGGAAGAAGAAGGGATCAAGGAACAAGATAGGACAAGGAGAGAAGGACATCAGGGGCTAACTGTGCAGCAACACAAGCCATGGAGAAAGACGTAAAGATAGGTATACAGAAATAGAGAGAGAAAACCCCAGAGATAGACAGTAGATGGGATGATAGAAGTTAATAAAAGCTGGCAAGAAGCAAGCCAAGCTAAGGCTGGGTATTTAATTGGGAGCTGGGCGGTAGGCCCTCAAAAAGCCAAAAGAGTAAAATATCAAATAACAATACCCCACACCCAGGCTCCAAGGTCCATCTCCCAGTCAATTCTAGATTTGATCAAGTTGACAGTTAACACTAACATGTGTCATGGCAGAGGCCTGTAATCTCAATGGTCGGAAGATTCCAAGTTCAAGGTCAGCCTAGGATACATAGAATGGACAAAAAGAAAAGAATAAATATTTCAAGACCATTGAGGTCTACTTAATGTCAACTTTTCCAGCCAGGAATGACCTGAGAAGACAGTCTCAGTGGGGGTTGTCTACATCAGGCTGGACTGTGAAGAAGCAAAGATTGTCTTCACTGTGTTAACTGATGTAGTGAGTCCCAGCCCACCGTGGGTGGCACCATTCCCTAGGCAGGGGATCCTGGACCATATGAGTAAAGAGAGGCAGCTAGCTGTACACAAGAAGCAGACACTTATTCTCTCTTCACCTTTGACCCTGCATGTGACTGGCTGCTTCAAGTCTCTACCTTGACTTCCCTGCAACAATGAACTCTAACCTGGAATTGTTATATGGATAAACCCTTTCTCTCTGAGAGCTGCTTTGGTCAGGGTTTTTTGCCATGGCAACAGAAATGGAACTACGAGCACCACAGCCTGGATGCTAGGGGGCCTCATTGCTACTGGGTTAGTCACTGACTCTCGGCATTCTTAGTGGCTGCAAGTAAGAACTCTTTTCTTTTTTGGATGAAGGGTCTTATACAGCCTCAAATCTGCCTTATAGCATAAGATAACTGTGGTCTCCTGCTCCTCTTGCCTCCAAATCCCTAGTGCTGGATTACAGGATTACACCCAGCCATTGATTAACTGTTTGTGCATACAGATACAATAGAAAACCAGGACTAGGGCCATCGTTGTGGCTCAGCAAGCCAAGGCCCTTGTTGCCCAAACCTGAGAACTCGAGTCCAGTCCCTGGAACCCCCATAAAGTGGACAGAGAGATCTGATGCCACAAAATTGTTACCTGATCTCTCTCTACCTGCACATCGTGTCATGTGTGGCCCCTTGATAACAAATTAGTTCATAAAAAAACTCAACACCCTTTATCTCCCTCCTTCCTCTCCTTTCTCTCACACTGAGAGCCCCACCCTCAAACAGAAGTGTTAGCGTCTCAACCACTCATTTGCTTTAGCTCACATCACGGCACAAAACTCACAGAACACTGACACCAATGCTCTTGCCAACAATGTGCTTTCTGAAGCTGTTATCACTTTAAGTGTTCTTTTTGTTCTTAGGTCTTATTACACTTGAGAATACAGACAAATTACTATGCAAAGTTGGTACTCAGGCAGGTTCTAGTGGTTCTTTGCCTGTCTGCGCCTGCCTCTCCTTTCCTCCTCCTTCCTCCTTCCTCTGCTCCTCACTCTTGCCCCTGCATGTTTTTTCTCTCTCTCTCTCTCTCTTTCTCTCTCTCTCTTCTGTGTGAGTGTGTTTGCCCCCCCTCTGTTTGTCTGCCTGCCTGCCTGTGTGTGTATCTGTGTTTCTCTCTCTCTCTCTCTCTCTCTCTCTCTCTCTCTCTCTCTCTCTCTCACACACACACACACACACACGAGGAGCTTATGTGACACTATGATATAATGAAAATGTGTATTTGGTCTCTATATCGGATTCTTGTGTCAGAATCCCTAATAACCTTGTAGAAGGGGGTTCCCAGGAAAGTTCTTTGTTTAGCATTTTGGTTTTCACTCTGAATTCCTTTCTGTCTCTGATCTCCTACAATATTTGGGGTTTTCACTCTGGATTCCTGCCTCTAATCTCCTACAATATTTGTAGTTTTTTCAATAGGAAACAGCTGACAGAAACTCTTAACTTCCCTAAGTGGTAGGAGCCCTTGGCACGGCTCTGAGGTAGCATCAAGATGAAGGCTGGTCGCCCAGGGAACCAAGCAGGGGCTAAAAGAGCTGGTGATTCAGCTCAACCAAGTTCCAGGACGACGGAGACAGGGCTGAAGATCTAGTAGTCCACCACAGCCAATGTTGTCATTGATCATGGTGATGATGAAGCCTCTGTGACGAGACTCTTCAGAGAGCTTCCCAATTGCTGGACTGTGGAGGTGTCTGGAGGTGGCATGCCCGGAAGACGTGGATATTCTGCCCACAGAACTCTGACGTCTAAAGGCTCGTTCTGCCTTGACGGAGAAATAATGCCGTCATAAGAGAGAGTGAATGTCTGATTTACTCAAATTAAAGAAACAAGTTTCTCCAAGGGCCAAGTCTCACGACCATATCCAGGGAGCTACCGCACGGTGGCGCTGCTTCCCGCGACGCCCTGTCACTGCCAGCTCCAGCGAACTGTCCACACGGTGGCGCTGCTTCCCCCACGATGCCCTGTCTGCACTGGGTCACAACCCTCATCCTGGTGAGAGACACTGCCTGAGCCAAGCCCATCCTGACCTCCTCTAACCCCCAAACCCTGCTAAAGCTATTTTTAAAGGGTTTAGAACGTCCACCCAATTTCTGAATTCAAATAGCAAGCAAAAATCATCCTTAAATGGGATGCTGAAAGTTGAGATTAAGGGCAAATTAAAATTTAAAGACCCATATATAGAAATTATAACTCAAGTTCTAACAGCACTTATGAAGTAGCCAACACACGTGACACACGTGGGTGTCAACAGTTATGCTAAACACTTCTCTTTGGTTTAGTTTTTGTGTTTGTTTAAGACAGTCTCTTAATGTAGCCCGGGCTTTCCTGAAATTCACAGAGATGCCCTAGCCTCTGCCCCTGGAGTGCTGGGATTGCCAGCACCGGCCACCACATTCACCTTGGTAAATACTTCTGAGGCAGTCAGAATACTAGATCTGTAATCACAGGTAGTGACCCCAGGCCACCTGCCACGCTTAAGTGGGGACACAGTTTTTAAAAAGAATAGATAGATATAAATATAATTATATATTTATATACATAGAACACATTGCATATTTTTAAAAGCCTATAAAAATCATGCTTAATAACTGTAAAATACACTTCAAAAATCACTCTCAAAAGCAAAACATGGTCGTGAATTCTGCCACTTAAACAGTGGCACTGATTCAGCATGTGTGTTGTGTAGCATTGTGTGTAAGACTCCGTCCCAAACACATGTGTAGGACCACCAGAAAGAAGACGGACTGACCTACGGACCCTGAGGAGGCTTTCTAAAGAGATACAATTTTCCTGAAGAGCATCTCTTTTAAAAAAATATTGTTTTTATTGCACTATATATTTTTCTTCTTCACTTCCCATCCTTCCTTCCCTTCTACCCTCTCCCATGACCCCCATGCTCCCAATTTACTCAAGAGATCTTGTCTTTTTCTCCTTCCTATTTAGATCCTTGTATTTCTCTCTTAGGGCCCTCCTTGTTGTCTAGGTTCTCTGGGGTTGTAGACTGTAGGCTGGTTTTCTTTGCTTTATGTCTTATGAGTGAGTACATAAAGCAATTCTTGAAAGGGAGGATGGATTTGTTCAGTTTCCTTCTAAGGAATCAGCTCGCCTGCATCTTCCAAATGCCTGTGCAGCCAGAGCTGGCCGCACACTGTGTTCTACAAGAAATGAGGTTTCCCAGCTCCAGACCTGGTCCATACCAGTTCTGGTGCAAGCCCTCCTGTTCCTCTCTTCTCATTTGCTGCCCGGACAGAGAGGGTCCCACATAGGCTCTGGGGTTCTAAAGGTGACAGGCACACTTGTGGGAAGGAACATGGGTGCCTGAATGGCTGTGTGGAACAGAGCCAGTGGTAGTTTGAAAGTATTTGGCCCCCATAACCTCTCAGGGAGTGGCACTATTAGGAGGTGTGGTTTTGATGGAGTGGGTGTGTCACCATGTGGGTGGGTTTTGAGGTTTCCTATGCTCAGAATACTGTCCAGTGTGTCAGCTGACTTCCTGTTGCCTGCAGGATGTAGGACTCTCAGCCCCAGCACCACATCTGCCTGCATGCCGCCATGTCAACTCGTTAACTGACACTGGCTGGGGTGAGACACGAGCTTGTGCCAGGGTCCTCTGGGCCACAGCCAGCTCATCATGGCACACCGCTGCATCTCCTATCTCCACGGAGACATCTGCCTTCTTTGAATTACCTCTTGCTAACTCTACAAAGCTTCAGAACTTTTCAGACCACTTGCCTGTGGTCACTAAGCCACCCTCACGTTCACCCCCCTTTGGAGTTCTACCTATTTCTAACTCCTTCACGCTCAGTTTGCTCCCCAGACTGCCACCAGACTTCTCATCAGAGGCTGCATACCTTGCTTATCTGTGTTGGTTAGTAGGTTAGCTTGTTTGTTTGTTTTTTGTCAACTTGACATGAACTAGGGTTATCTGGGAATCAGAAACTTAATTGGGAAGATATCTCCATAAAATTGTCCTGTAGGCAATTCTGGGGACAATTTCTTGATTGATGATTAGTGTGGGACGGGCACAGTTCATTGCGGGTGGTGCCACCCCTGGGTAGGCAGTCTCTTAGGGTGTAATAAGAAGTCCAGGGGAGCAAGCCAGTAAGAAGCACTCTTCCATGGTCTCTGCTTCACTTCCTGCTTCCAGGTTCCAACCTTCAGTTCCTTCCCTGACTTCCCTCAATGATGGATTGCGATGGGAAAATGTAAGCCAAATAAATCCATTCTCTTCCAAATTGCTTTAAGTCATCGAAAGCCCAGTAGAAAAAGCATTCAGAATGTTCTCAAGTCCTCCCGCTCAGCATCCATATCCCAAAGTCACTGTCCTCACTCCTCTCTGGCCCCTTCCTTCTGCCTCTAGTTTCCTACTTCCCCAAGCCTCAGCTACCCCTGGCTTTATTGTCCTCTGGCTGGGTGGTCTGATTCTCTTAGACGAATTCATTGACCAGGAAGCTGTTGTCATACTGATAAAGCTACAGTTAGCATCAACACCATCAGAAACCTGAGAAGGACAAACTCCAGGAAGCTTAACCCAAATGAGCTCTCTATCAATTAAAGGGACAGAGACTTGCCTGGATGGGTCCGCCTAGGCTCCAAGGGCGGTCTCCCTAGGGACAGGTTCAGTCTTCAGCTATCACACAGGGCAGCATTGCATCTTCAGGTGCTGCACAGGACAGCACAGGCCTTTGGCTGCCAGATCTGGAAGGTCTGAGAGATCTTCCTGTGGATGAGAGACTCGGGACAATTAACCCCCTTTGACATAGGCAGACTAAGGAATCCAACCCAACTGTGTCCTCATTGTGTGCAGGGCCCCGGCAGCGAGCGAGGCATGGGGAAGATTTTCTCAGTGGTTAGTGTCACCACAATCAAGGCGTATGCCCCATCTGTATTCTTTGGAGACCTTGGGTCACTTGCAGGAGCTGGCATTTCTGTCTATCATGCGAAGATTTTTTTCATTAAACATTTTAAATGCCGCATTCAGCAGATCTCTGAAAACTTTTGAGGGCTGCCTGTGAAGTGTACCTGATTTTAAATAAATTGTATTTGTATTTAGTTATTTCCTTTAGGATGAACCTTAAAAACATAGAGAGGAGCCTAACCAAAGCTTATTCCTGTAAATAAATTACAATTGTACCCAGCATGACTAAGGGTACAGCTCTGAACATATTAAGATTTTCATTTGGTCTTTGATAGGTGACTATCAATTCAACATGTCTTAATTTTTTACAGCAAGTTAGTAGCTTTTATAAGATTAGGACTCAAACTTAGTTCTAAATTGATTAATATTTCCATTTTAACACTGACCCTTAGAAACTTGTAGTAGGGATTTTATACAGGGTGTGCTATAGGCCCAGTAGAAGAACTTAGCAGGAAACCCAGCAGCCATTGATCCGGCAGGAGGAGCTACCGTCATCCAGCCTTAGGAGACGGTCTAGTTTGTGCATAGTTGGTTGTCAGTTACCAGTGCCTGCACATCCAAGTAGCCAGGTTCCCCCTATCACGTGGTCCTGTAGACCAGAGCAGGCTTGTGCACATTACCAAAGTCCGCGGCTTTGTTTCAAGACAAGGCTGGCTTTAAGGTGCCGGCTTTTTCTACTGCTCCCCTTGGGACTCCCAGTTTTTAAATCCTCATTCCTCTCTCAGTTTCTTTTATTTTTCTCCTTCATCCATCATCTTCCTACTGTTTTGCTTTGGAGCCCTTTTCAGCCATGTGCAAAAGCTATGAGGACCTTTTAAGATTTCCATTGGCTCCTCAGGTGATGAAACCACATGAATATTTGGGTATCTAGACTACTTAGAAATCATTTTGTGCAACGTCTGGCAATGTCTGACAGCGAGAATCCTCTTTTCTTATGTGTGTGTAAAACACAGAACAAAGAAGAAGTAGCCCTCGAGATGGAGGGAGACACTTGCTAGACACTGTGACTGGGGAAGTGACCAGAGCAACCTGAAATCTGAGTGCAGCCTTGGCAAGTGGCCCAAGTGCAAGGCAGGTTGGCACACACACACACTACCAGACTGGTCGGTACACACACACACACACACACACACACACACACACACGCACACACTACCAGGCAGCCCCCATGCCTTGAGTCTCAGGCTTTACTCTGTGCTCTCACCCAGCCTGGTGACAGCCCGCCAGCTTCGGTGTTCCTCGGAGGATCCCAGTCAGCACCTTGTGCAGATTAAGGGCAAATAAAGTGGATGTTCGTGCACCCAAGTCATCGATCAACTGAGGCCTGGTGAGCAACCTGCAGCGGCAGATTTACAGAGACAAACACAGCAAAAACAAATAAACAAACCAGTAAACACAAAACACAGAACGTCAGAAGCAAAACATGCAAATATTTAAGTTGGTTCTGCTGATTTCCTCTCAATCCTTAGTATCCAATAACCAGGGGTCGAACTGACTATTCCCTAGTGCCCCAGGCAGGGGTACATTCCTTCGCAGGTACCTCTCTGTCTCCAGATGGGACCCCACCAGAAACCATACCAGATGTCACAGGAGACGCCTTCTATGACTTACCAATGGAAACCTCTTCAGACAGGTACCTGCTGGCTTCTTGGTAGTGCAGCAGTTTGCTCCAATAACCCTCTAAATTGGAAGCATGCATCAGAGCCCTGGAATATCTTGAAGGTTCACACCACCTCTGGAGGTAGCATTCACACTGAAGGAGCAGACCAAACTCCATTTTGGGAAAGAACTTCATTTTAGACAGGACGGTGATGCAGCCCAGCAGAGTCATAAACATTCCCAAGACACTGTGCTTGCCCTGGTCAAAGTGACCGACCATGGTGTCCAGACATCTGCTTGCTTCAAATGCCCTTGTAGGTATCTGAATAACCACTGTTTTGAAATTCTTGTCTGCTGACAGTCAGTGTTTTAAAATTCCCCTTATTCCAACCAACATATTCAAAAGTTGTATACTTTCACCCAACCCGAAACACCAAGGCTTCTGCCACCCTGCTTGCAGTTTCCCCTTTAAAATTCCTTTACCGGGAAGCCTCGGGGCCATTCTTCTCCATCCACTGCTGTGTTGGAGTGTCGATTGTGGTCTGAGTTAGCTAACTTGTAACCAATAAACTCAAGAGTGTTTGCATCAGATACCTGTTCTGGGGTGGTCTTGTTTGGGGTCCCGTGACACAGGCATGACACACCTTTTCTAGATGGGCATTCATTCCAGAGTCCCAGAGCCAAGGTCTGACTTCAGAACTTGGGTTGGGCCCTCTGATTGTTAATCCCAGCAAGGGAGAATAAAGTCTCAAATTCTTTGGTCAAATTTAACACGTTTTATTTTCTCTCAGACAGGGCTAGCTCCCTCAAGTGAGGTTTGAGAAAATAGCACTGGGTGTAAGAAAAAGTAGGGCATATATAGTCCAAGAACAATAAGACTATGGGCTTTCAAGGGCCGGGGGATCTCCAGGGGAATATTGGTTATGTAGGAACTTGGCTGCACGTCTCAGAATTATTTGACAGAACATCTTACTACCAGGGTGGAGGTCAGGGCATAGGGTGTGAATCATACCAAATTCCAGAAAATGGGTCACGACCTGGTTGTGAAGGTCTGGACATAGGGTGCAGAACATATCAAATTCCAGAAAATGGGTCACGACCTGGCTAAACCCAAGTTTTACAGAAAACAGAAATAAAATTATTTTGACCTTGTAACAAGATGGCTTTTAATCTTAAGATGGAATCAGGCTGGTCCGTCAGAGTGTCTTAATTAAGCATACAGAAACCTACAGAGACATGCACCTTAAACATGCCCCAATTTTGTCAAACCCTAAATTTAAAAAGACTGTAAAGGAGAAGATGGCTCAAATCCACGAAATATAAAACCCATGTTCTTGCTGGGCAGTGGGTGGCACAGGTCAATATCCCAGCATTCGGGAGGCAGAGACAGAGTTGGAGGTCAGCCTGGTCTATAGAGTGAGTTCCAGGAGAAGCTCCAAAGAAACCCTGTCTCAAAAAAACACAAAAAAGAGAGAAAAACCCATGTTTTCTCTCACATGGTAGAAAGTGGAATTTTACGTTAACCTTTCTTCCCACAGAAATATATTTATGAAACCATGTTTGAAGTGTTTTATGTTTTCCCCCCATGTCCATGTTTAAATGTTTTTTCTGTTGTATAAATATCGATATACTAGAAACCTGAGAGCCATACAGACTCAAAGTGATTTTACAGGCAAAAGGACCATTTGGAGAAATTACGTATTTCCCAATAATGATTATTAGAACTCCATAGAATTCAAAAGTGTAAAGTCAGGGCTTAGGATATAGCTTAGTGATTGAGCTTCTGATTAACAAGTGTGAGACCTTCAGTTGGTCCTC